TGGACCAGTTAAGAATAGGTAGACCCGAGTGCCGGACGAAGAACCGTATTATTCTAACCTTTCGTATTCATAGTCGAACCCATCATCAGACGGGCTTAGATAGGTAATTCGTGGATGAGTAGAGTTCGGCGACTAATGAATCGAGTGCCCGTCATCAAGGAATTATAACACCAAGGCGGCTAGCCTCGATGAAGAGGAACCCCTGATTTTCATAGGTATGTGATAGCATGGCGACTGCATCCTATAAACACTGCAGCATCTTGTGCATGAAGTACCAGTATCTGATGTTGCTCCTGATAATGTGCTCGAGCGTGACTTCATAACGTCAGGCAAATAAAGCTTTCGATCCAGCAATCGCGTTTTCTTCCTCCGAACGAGAAATTCTTTTGTAAAACTCTGGCAATCTGAAAGTCTGGTTTTAAAAAGATGGACTGAAGTGTATTTTTTAAAACATAGGCCGTCATTAATCAAAGCCGGTTTTTAGCTCCAACGCTTCTGTACATTTGACTTCATTATGCAAAGTGATTTGAGCAATCCCCCAGAGTACGCCTTTGCGCTGCCATATTTCCGACTTCAGATCCATATTTCGTCGTTCTCATCCGCTTGTGCCTCAGGTTCCCCACAGGCTTGTGGATAATTTTATGCAATAGGTTGAATTACCTTCCTCTGAACTACTTTATCCTTTTCTTTAGACCCAGCGTCAAGAAAAATGTTACTGCGCTTGCCCGATTTATTAATCTCACGAGTGCTCACCATATAAATTTACAGAAGTAACGACGCGTATCACAAGCTAATGTTCTCGATTTACTGTAATTTACTGTTACACAATGGAAATGTCACGACCCTAATTAACACTAAATAACGACTAAAAATTACTCATTTTACCACATTCGACACAAACATACATTAATTAAAATTTCTACATAACTTAGACGTCCATATTACTGCTTCTCAATAACCAAATACATGTGATAGATTAATAGAAACTGCATGCTCACAAGCAGTTCTTGAGTTGAAAAGTTTCTTTAATGTATAAAAGAAGGCGAAGGCACGATCACTGGGACAGAAGGTTTATTTGCCTGAGCTTTCGAACTCGAACTAGAGTTCATCATCAGAGGCTACTCGAGTGCAGCAAATTGTGAACATTTATATCGTTCATCCTTGCGGGTGTGGGGGGGGGGAGGTGGAGTACGTCCGTGGCTAGGTAGGGTTTGTGCCGCCTGGTCCACGATGTTCCCCCGGCGTGGTGACGCCGTTTGCACTTCGCGACGGTGTGAGCTGCGCCACCTGGCTGCGTGGGCGGAGCGCGTGATAACACGCAGGCAAATCAATGTGTCTGTTGATGGAGTTGGTGTCCGACACCCACGCCTCCAACAGCTCTCGCCCTGTCTTGTTGCCGGCTCGCGCCAATATCCGCGTGTTGGCGAAGTCGAACTCATGCCCTTCCTCGAGCGTGTGAGTGGCTACTTGAGACAGTGGGTCGCCTCTCCGAACGGCCCGTTTGTGCTCAAGTATTCGTGAGCTCAGACGTCGTCCTGTCTGGCCTGTGTAGTGGCAAGGACAGTTTTGGCACGGGATTCGATAGACTACGCCCGACTGTTCACCAGCGTCCAGCCGATCCCTCATTTTCATGATCCTGCTACGCATGGTGGCCGCCGGATGATGAGCGATGCCCACAAATAGCTCTGACGCGATGCGTTCTGTAGCCTCGGACACATTCTTTATGTACGGTAGAGAGTGCCAAATTGTTGATGTCTCCCTTCCGTTTGTCCGGCGTGGGTGTGCGCGTATGCAGCGACTGATAAAGCTATTTGGGTAGCCGTTCTTTGTTAATTGGTCCCGGAGATGCCGTAGTTCTTGCATCCTTCCTTCGGGCTCGCTACAGTGCGTTTTTTACCCGGTCGAAAAGCGCCCTCACACAGCCCCGTTTGTGCACCAATGGGTGGTTGCTATGATAGTTGAGGAACTGGGTTGTATTGGTCGCCTTTCTGTACACTGTGGTGCTGAGTTTACCGTCAGGTGTGCGCGTGACGAGCACGTCCAGGAAGGGTAGTTTCTCGTCCTCCTCGTCTTCTCTTGTAAACTGAATGTCGGGGAATATGCTGTTAAGTAGGTCTTGGAAACCCGATAGCTTGTCCTTTTCAATAATGACGAAAGTATCGTCCACGTATCGGCGCCCAAACGCAGGTTTGTAATGGCTGAAAGCAACCTTTTCCAGTTCTTGTAGGACCAATTCCGTAACTAGGCTGGATATTGGGGAACCCATGGGTGTTCCTTTGATTTGTTCGTATGTTCTGCCATCGAAGGTGAAAAAGGTTCGTTGGCAGAATGCAAAGAGCTGCATTAGGTGCTGGATCTTTAGCGGCCCTGTCGTTTCGTTGTACTTTTCTTCGAGCCGTTTGCGTAGCACGTCGCGCGCCAAGTCTGGTGGGATGGATGTGAAAAGTGATACAACGTCGAAGGATACCATGATTTGGTCGGGTTGAATAGTTTTTCCCCGAATGTCGGCAAGGAATTGGGAGGCCGAATTGACGGACGTCACGGAGCCCTCTCGGAGAAAATTGAGCTTTCGGGACATCCATTTGGCTAAATTGTATGTGGGGCTGCCTTTCAGGGCCACGATTGGCCGCAGAGGAACGTTGGGTTTGTGGATTTTTGGTAGTCCGGCGAATCAGTTACTGAGTGTCTGGACCGAACAATATCAACTGTGGCAAAAGCGAGACAGGAAATGAAACGCATGAATCTAGACCAAAAAGCCGTCAAATTGAAACCGGAAATCAATACCAACGGATATTGGCGCGAGCCGGCAACAAGACAGGGCGAGAGCTGTTGGAGGCGTGGGTGTCGGACACCAACTCCATCAACAGACACATTGATTTGCCTGCGTGTTATCACGCGCTCCGCCCACGCAGCCAGGTGGCGCAGCTCACACCGTCGCGAAGTGCAAACGGCGTCACCACGCCGGGGGAACATCGTGGACCAGGCGGCACAAACCCTACCTAGCCACGGACGTACTCCACCTCCCCCCCCCCCACACCCGCAAGGATGAACGATATAAATGTTCACAATTTGCTGCACTCGAGTAGCCTCTGATGATGAACTCTAGTTCGAGTTCGAAAGCTCAGGCAAATAAACCTTCTGTCCCAGTGATCGTGCCTTCGCCTTCTTTTAAACAAGAACCTGGGATGCGCATATTCTCTTCCACTTTAATGTATCTTCAACTCCATTAATTGCTGTCTACTAGGCTTCACTGCAATTTTCTGTAAAAACAGTGCTATACTGTTTTTCCCCATGATCGTCATTTCTTTAAAAATAAAAATATGACCATAAAATATGTTTTATGGTGTGCGACCGGCAAATATACCAAGGTTTGCAAGGTGAAACATTTTTAAAAAGTTATCAGCGCATAAACATTCAATATAAGCAGTCAATAAGTAGCAGCATACCCAGCTATACAGCCCCTCCCCAATGTTGTCAGTAGAACATTTTTCTGCACCTTTATTTCGTAGTTTACTAGTATTACTTTGCCTCATCTCGAATGACAAATGATATGGTTGCCTACTATTACTTTGGCATTATGCGGCTATACTGAGAAAGGCTACAAAATACACAGTGTTCCGCTGCGGTGTCTTGCGTCGAGGATTTGTATTAAATGGTCTGCTTCTTGAAGATGGAAATACAAATATTTGTCGAACAAACCACTCTACGAAAGGAAGACCCCCAGATAGCACTTGTAGACGCTAATTATCTTAACTCGAAGCCCTTAAATTAAGACCAAAATTTTGAAAAATACGTTCTACTGATGTCCAGCATCCGGGTAAATCAAATGAACCCTGTAACCACTAGTCTATCCGCTTGCAGAACGAATATCAGTCGGTTCATTTTGCCCAGTCCGTCCTTGCCGTTGTGGGCTATCCGCACACTATTTACTCGTTAACTGGCACTGTGACCCATTTGAGGACCGAGTCGCCCATCCTCCTTGTGTGAAATCCTTGCGCTTCGTGGGGGGCGTGTGCGGCACGCGCAGACAGGCCGTTTGTCTCGGTCAGCCACATGTGGCCAATTTTAACATCAGAAGATTAGCCGGCTTAGATAGTGGATTGATGCCCAGGAGAGGTGAAAGGGAGTGGCATCGATTATGAGGACTCCGTCCCCACGGGACCCTGCGTGTTTTCCTCACTACAAGCAACCTAACTCGCCTTCCAACTATCACGAACTGTAAAACCGCTAGCCTGGCCGACGGCCAGTTGACTGGATAAATAACTCCTCCTCCCAGGACGGAAAGTCAGGCTACAATAGCTCCCTCCTAATGTGGCCTCTATGGCGATTCCACTCAGCTGGGATCTGAGATCCCACTTGTTTCCGTGTAAGCCTCCTTGTTTGTGCGCCGATTAGGCTATGTGGCACGCCTAGGCGGACTGTTTGGCTTTGTCTGTCACTGCGTCCAATCCCGCCTTCGGTATTCTTGACTCTGCCTTGGCACCGGACTCAGGCAGATGAGGAAGGAGGAAGTGCGATGGATTCTGCACAGGTCTACAACCACTAGAAATCAATTCGCACACAAGTCACCGTTTCTGCATCCGCCACGATGCGAGGCACCGTCGTTCACGATGGTTGAACTGTCGCTCATCGGTTAACCATAACTTTTAAAGGTTCTGATTTTAGTTCAAAAACGAGAGAATGCCAGGGTGCTACGTCAAAGACTCCTGCCGGATAAGTTCCTAACGTACCTCCGTAACAAGAATAGATTTTACTGAAATTGATAAATGCTGGACTTATGATTTGCCTGAATGAATTTCTAACATACTCACCTACGATAGACTTCAGGGTGTGCTTAATGTTTTGACGTGTTCCAAGAAGGCACACGTACGTTTTTGCAGTAAACGTTCGTTTTTCAGAAAACGCAAATTTTGGGTTTGAACCAAACAAAGCATGCGATTATGTCGGTTTTCAACAGTTTAAGCTCACTTTTGACTTATTTAGAGTTCATGCTAGATCATCTCGGCATGCTAATCGTCAGGCGGTAAGTTTTGTCAGTATAAGACGCAAAGAAGAAGACCACCATTTTCGCCTCAGCTGTTTTCGAAGAATGCTGAGGACGAGGCGACAGAAAATGGTTTCCAATATTGCAATTTTGGAAATAAGGAGAACCACAGCATCCAGGTCATGTTAAGGCCGACATAACTGTCATGGAGCGACCACGTCGTGAGTAAGGATGACGGGTGCCTGCTCAAGCGTCTATTAGACAGCGACATGGCTACATGTGTTCGCAGACAAGGAGGACAAAAGCACCTGTTCAAGGACACCTGAAACTCAAGTCAGGTTAACTGCAAACCAACCCGGAAGTATAGCTCACTGACGTAAATACTGGAACAGCCACTTTCGAAGCCAACCGAATAAAAATGCAAGGAGAAACCGTCATAAGTGAAATGCTGTGGACCAATGACGCAAGCACCCACCTCCTGCTATCTGGTCCATATTGTCAACGGATACTCCGGGCACAGATCGGTTCGCTGAACTTCTCCAAACCCTGCAAGATGGCAACACCACTGCCAACCCTAACATCACCAGTGCGAATGTTTTCATCATCCTGGAAAAACACTATCCTCATTGTGCCTGCCAAGAGCAATGCGAACCCAGTTCCAACCTGTCTCCATTGCAACCGCATATGTGAATCATTCATAGGTCCTTTCAGTCATTTACTAATCCATCGCGATGAGACGGACGAACCGGTCTCCGAATCCCCATCTAACACCCGTCACAATTGCCTCACTTTTGTACACCACCGAAAGAAATTCAGCCACTGCATGGGCCTATTCGGTCATGTACGTCTCAACTAAACTCTAAGGTCATAAACCTCAGTTAAGACCCCATCGTCACACCCCAATCGTTCCTGCCCACCCCACCTACCCACACATTTCTCAGGGTTCTATTTAAACTGACTCCGTGACACGCACATACACATCGCCCATCTAACACCATGCCTTGCTGTTGCAGCAAGCATGCGATCCATTTTCCCGTCGTCCTTATAGGGGGAGTGGCGAGACGTCGCATGTTAGTAAATGAACACATCGTTTACGTGGAAGGCATAAACCTCGATGTAACCTGCTACATATGGTAGGTCTTACGTGGCACTCGTTGACTGGCTGTTTAGCTCTGTCAAACTCCGCGTCCAGTAGCATCATCAGCAGGCTGAAAAGCTCGGACAGTCGACTGGCGTGTGGGAGAAGGAGGAGTTAGGCTGACACTGGGGAATCCATTCTTCACTTTGATAGGTGTGATGCACTTGGAGCCGTGATTGGAAATACTGTCAACTGGCAGGACGACTCGGTCCCCGTGAGAATATTCTGGAGTGACCAGAGAGCTTGTAGGCGAACTGCAATTGTTCCGTCCCAAGGTGGCCATCCTGGCGCTCTCACGTGTGTGAAATCCGACTAAACTCATGATGGCCTGGGAATCCCGTCGAGTTTGGCTTACGTAGCCGGGCTGCTTTTCCTCGTCAGCCGCTGCGCCAGTGTCCACCGCCTGTTGCCTTAACATTGCCTTACAATCGGATCAAGATGGGTGAAGGAAGAGGAGTGCGGTAGGAGCTGCGCAAGCCCGTCTCAAGAAAAACTGGTTTACGCTGTTGCTGCGAATGTCGTCGCCTGTGACGGTCGAACCATCAGATTGCACTGGCGTATAAAAAGTGAATGAACAGGTTTTGGTTGGCCTAACTCCCTTAGCTAATTAGATGGGTAAAAATGCTTACTGAATTTATTTGATTAGCGATGTGAAAAGACAAATAAATAAATAAGGAAAAGCATCGGTTCCACGCATTTGATTGTACCGCTTTGTGCTCCGATTATCAGTCAGCGGTTAAAAGTTTTTAGTGACACTTCTAATGGCAACTCAATAAACATTGCTTTCATGCCTCTCGTGAAAGACGAACAGAATATGCAGACGGAATAAGAATGGATTTTTTAATTCTTACTTTCATCTAGGGGTTTGTATCTATCCTCAGTCATCTATGGTTGCTCTCACGCTCGAGATACCGGCCCACCAGAAAAAGTACTTATTTGGGCACCAAGAACGACAGTTCTGTAAACTTATCGGTACCAAACCGGAGACCGATTGTTTTATACGTGAGAAATAAAACGAGCTCAGAAAAAACTTCGTGTTCTCAATTTAGGATAAACTTTGATTATATGACCTTAGCTTGTTCCAAATTCATACCAGGAAAATATTGTTCTGCAAATTATGAGCGTAACCTGACCGGTTGCTACAGAACTCGAACTCAGCTTGAAGACAAATGCCATCGGTTTCCGCGAACATAACCACAAAAGGCTCATCACACCTGCAGACGTCTGCCAAAAGGTTGTAAACTTTCGGGAGCGCAAGGTCATTTCGTTTCTTTTTCAAGGGAATGTACATTTAGTGGCTCACACCGAGCACACAGACCGAGCTTTTGGGTTTCACTGACGAACGCCCTGCGAGCTTATCGTGGGCCTATGCCAATTTTTCAATAAAACCGTACCTGCGCAATATTCTCCGCCAACATTAATAGATGCAAAAGACGCAATTGCATATGGCATGTCA